CAATACTGTCTGTGAGCCCATTTAATGAGCTTGAAAGCAGTTGCTGCAAATTTATGACAGTTTAATGTCTAAATGCTGGGATCTTTTTTAAGGTGGAAATGAAAGAGAAATTTGTGTATTTCCATATAGGTGGGTTTTCTTCAGTTCTTTTTCTCCCCATACCCTTTTCCCCCACACAACATCTATTTAAACACATTTTTAAAAGGAAAGTGTATTACTTAACTCCTGAGCTGTTCAAACAATTAATATTCACCTACTTTTCACAAGGTGGATGGTACCAGTGATCCTTAGGGAGCTTTATGGTGCTCCCCCAGAACTCCTTGGTTGGTGGGAGATTTTCTGGGTTTCGGAGAGGCTGCTTAGAGATTTGGGCAATTGGGGGTGTCTGGCCCCTTGGGCAGGGATCTTAGAGTTAAGGTCTGGTGTTGCTGTGTGGCCTCTCTGGCTGCCTCAGTATGCATTTGGGGATTTCCCTGTTTTTATTTGTTACTAAAATAAGCATGGTAAGCTCAGTATTTTTGCCTGAGATCATTTTTTTTCAGCTTTACAGAACTGTTTCCAGCAGAAAGACAGGTCATGGATTACTTACATGACTTTAGCATATGGCTTRAATTATATAGCATGTGGTATAGATTTTAACACTTTACAAGTCTGCTGAGTTTTGAGAAATCAGGGTCTTGAGGAGGTTCTGAGTTTGTCCTTTAAAATAATCAGATGAGCAGAGAGCTTTGGCTGTTCTACAGTGAGTGATAGAGAATGAGAATGGGTTGGTTTTTTTAGCTCTTGAGGTCATGCTGAGCTCAGTGCTGCTGCAGCATGGGGCTCGTACCCTGCCCAGTAAAGTCTCTTTTCACATGCTGTGGTTTGGTGGCTGGGCATGGTCAGCCTGGCTGAGGTGCTCTGCTGTATCCTCTGGTCACTCTCCTGCTCTGCTCAGTCACTGAAATTGTCCACTTTGGGGTAGAAATGTTATCCTGAGGAGGGGCTGAGCTCCCTGTGTGCCTCTGAGGAAACAGCTGTAGGAACAGCACTTTGGAGCAAGGGAAACACAGGGGCAACACACTGTGCTGCTGAGAGGTGTTAATGCTGCTGTCAATAGAGTTCATGGCTGATCAGCCTTGTTCACTGAGGAAGRAATAATTTCTCAGTCCCTGCATCAGATGCAGGAGCTGTAAGTAAATCTAACCTGTCTAGATTAATGATTTCCACCATGACTTCATGTGAAGAACATATCTGGTTTACAACTGCAGAATGGGGTCACTTGTGCCTTGCCTTTGCCCATATTGTAAATATTTGTTTTGTTCATTGCATTAACATCAAGCCATTCTTTCTATTCAGAATGGCATGTGCACCAGGTATTGAAGTCATCGAAAGGGTATGACAAACAAAGAGATTTTGCTTCTTCATGTCATGTTCATCCCATATTTACCCTATGGTGAGAGCTCTGTTAGCACAGGAAACTGTTTAATGGTATGTCTGTGTTTGTTTTTCGATTGCGCTTAGCATGATAGTTACCTATTTATTTCTGCTGAAGAGGATTACAGGCATTTTTCAATTATAAATGATGCACGCAAGCATTATTTAATCTGTTTACTGCAGACCTATAGAGTGTTAGTCAGTCTTGAGCAAAAACATCTTGTACAGGAAGCAACATTTGTAGTAGTGGTACTGTGGGTATTTTAGGGCAATTTCAGGATGCTTTTCCATCTGTCTGTTAATACTCACTCYGCAGCATCACAGGCTTGTGTTTGTGCCTGGAATTCCTGTGCTTGAGAAATTGTCATTCTTGGTGTTTCTTCTGATAAGGTGTTGAAGGAGGAGGGGGAAGCTCATGGTTCTTCACTCACCAGAAAAGCTTTGCCCAACTTAGGCAGGCACGTGTTGGGTGAACCAAAGTGCCCAGACCCAATTAAGGATGTGTGACCTTTCTCTAATTCCCCAAGCTATCAGCAGAAATGTGGAATGCAAAGCCAGTCTGAAGACTCCATTGCTGTTTTCCTTCAGGATTTGTGCATAAGATAATAAAAAATGCATTGCTGTAACACATATTATATAACAAAGGAAGTAAAAAACAGTTTGTAGGAGGATATAAGCTCCAGCTTCATGGTATGGAATCATAAAGCAGGTCAGAAGAGCACTTCTTATTCTGGAGATTTTTGTCCTTTTTTCCTCCTGCCTTTTTTTTTTTTTTTTTTTTTTTTTTCCCTTCCTTTCTTTTAAGTATCAGCTGTTATCAGAGACAGGATTCTTGTATGGGTGAATCTCTGATCTCAACCAGCATGGTAGCTGCAGGCCAGTTAAACCAGATACATGCAGCAGTGGGGATAGAACTTGACATTTTGGGTTTCACTCTGTGAACGTGGACAGAAAAAGGATATATAGAAGTGGGGGGAAAAAAAGAGAGATGAAATTCAAGGTGGGGTTTTGAGGTTTTTTTTTTTAAGAATTTGAAGAAGATGTAAGAAAACTTCTGTTCTGAATTCTGAACCCTTCCACAAAATGAGAAAACTTTTGGTCACTTTTCTAATGGTCTTCCCAAGATCCTGAAACAGTTGTACTGAAGTGTGAGAGAACTGTATGTGAATATAAGGTAAAAAGAGGGAAAGCATGTGGAAGGAAAATAAAACTATGTCCCATGCAGGTCTGAGCTGACATCTCTGCAAGTGGTACTTGTTTGAATGTGAWTTTTAAAGGAACATGAGATCCCACTCCCCATACCCCTGGAGAAAACAAGATTTCAGATGCAGGGAGCATTTGCTTTGCAGCCTCCAAAGAAATCCTGTTGGTTTTGTGCTGTTGAAGAACATGGCACATTTGCAGGATGTGCTATCAAAGAGGCTGCGTGGCTCGATCTATRCAGTCACACCACCTCGGCAGATTAAAGGGGCGCTGCCGGGGCTGAGGTTAAGGATTGATCTACTTTGACACAAAATCCCAAAAGGAAGAGTTCTAACCTTTATGATTCTTTCTGTCTATTTGCTTTCTTCAAACTGATTGCAGCTGTCACCAGAAATAAAACCAAAGTAAACAAAATAAAACTCTTTACCGCTTGTGGTTAGRCAGCAATAAATAAAACATTGTTTAAGTGCAGAGCAAGATTTTCTTACATTCTTGTATTTAAATGCTGGTAGCATTTTAATGATTTTTTTTCAATGGTTGGAGAAATCTGGATAAATGGAAAAGATAAAGGGATGTGTCTCACAACAGGCTCTGTATTTTTTAGTGGGTTTTTTTTTATTTGTCAGCTGCCAGGCAGAACCTACAAAGTGGGTCATTGGGTCCACTATACTGTGATTATTATTTATACAGGATCCAAGTGTACAGAGCACCCCTTTGGGCACGTAATAGTTCACGGTTCAAAGAGCTTGCAGCCTTCAGGGCTGGTGCTGTTATGTCCAGTAACATCTAAGCTGTATATATTTCAAAGCTGCTTTTGCCACTTTGATAATTTTATTGCATTTCTTGCCCTAGATGATCATTGCAAGTTCTGGAGGACTGTGATGAGGAAAGGATTTTCAATTCCATTTACAACAAACCATTTTGTCTCTAGACAAGTGCATGAGAATGTGTCCTGAACACAGCAAAGCAGTTCAAAGGGCAAATTAACAGAAAAGAGAAAAACCACGACAAACCACCTATCTCAGTGCAGTTGGCTGGGAAGATAATGAGTTTTCTAAGATTCGTAATTAGTTAAGGGAAGGAAGGATGAGATGAGAGGTGCTTGTGAAACCTGGGCAGTGGATTCCTGTTTTCTTGTCAGGCCACTGAAATTAGTGATATTTTTACAATATTTTTTGGATATGCTGTGGTCAATGATGCCCTCCTAGGAGCAGCTCCAGGCTGGTTCTGCCCTTCACACATCGGTGTGTTCCCTGCTGGGCACAAGGTCCTTTCTCAGGGTTTTCTCCTTTTGTCTCCACTCCTTTCCAAATACATTAATACACAGCCATAATGTGATTAAACTCTGTTTTTCCTCATGASAATGAGGTCATGGCAGTAAAATCCAGAGGAGCTCTTTTGCATCTGATGAGTTGTCCATTGGGAGCAGTCCATCCAGATATTATCAACACTGCTCAGGTTCTGAAGCTGACTGGTGGGGGAAAAAAAGAATGTACCTCCTGAATAAGATACATGGCAATATTTATCTCCCAAAAGCAAACTGGCAAGTATCTYAAATAATGGAAAATTCACAGAAATTGTGAGTTATTCCTACAATACCCCTGAAGAGGCAAAAGGTGAAAAAAAATTGCATTATTGGTTGTAAATTCCTTGGCTGTGTGCACATAAGTGACTGAAGTGATGGGTTTAATTTGGAAGTCATGGAGCTTGACAGGGTTAATCCTTCCTGCTGCCTCTCTCTCCTCTCTCTGGTGCTGGCTCTCAATGTTTGGAGGATGTGGGCAATTTCTGGGTGGCAGAAGGAATGTTGCAGGTTTTGGTCTGGCAATGCAGGCAACTACACTGTCAAAAACTGCTGATTTTTTTCTAGATCCTCTCACAGAGCTTTTTTCCCTTTCCTTTGTCCAAGTGACGCTAAATTAAATAAACTTAAAAATATGAATAGCAATGAGATGCCAAAGTCCAGCTCCATTAGGGCTGAAAGGGGCCCAGATTCTCTGACTGCAGCAGCAGCACCAGATTTATGGCTGTGTCAGTAAGGAATGAGCTGGTCTGAGATAACTTCTGTTTATCACTGCAGTTTTCCTCTATGAAAGCAAAGAGAGATGGAGAAAAATCAGCTCTGTTTTTTGGCTTTCCAGGGCTAATAATGTGGCTAATGTTTTAAATAATTCAGAGGATGCCTTTTTTATTTAACCTTCCTCTCTTTATTTTGTTACACCATGTACCTTTTGGCATTTGGGGAAAATCCATTGTAAATGTGAGAACTAAGCAGCTTGTTAGATAATATCTTTTTTTTTTTTCTTTATAGAAGATTAATCTGAGACTGTTCTACCTGATGCCAGAGTAGATGTAACCAATGCTGTATCCTTTGCCTGTAGGTCAGTCAGAGGGACAATTCAGCACTGGATCCCATTATCCATGGGTTGAAGGGCGTTGTACATCATGGTAAGTAGCTGCTTAAACTTTCTACTTGTTGGGAAGGGGAGAAGGGCAGGAATGTTGTCCTTAAGGGATCAGGTCACCCCTGGAAGGACACGCTGAGCCCACACATTCCTCATTYGCTGATGTTTAAGGGCATCACAGCCATTATTTGATTGGTAAAGATCAGAGTCATTTGTTACCAGAGAATGGTTTGGGGTGAACAGTAAACAATTTGTTTCTTTTCAGTCAGCGCTCCAGAATGCGTAAGTTATCAATCACAACCTGCTGCAATCTATCTTTCATATTAGAACTTCGAAGGCAGCGTGGATGCTTCTCTCTGTTATTTATCTTCTGTTTGCTCTAAAAATAYACCTCTCTGAAGTTTCTATTTGTTTATAAATTATTTGTCTTTCAAATTTTGGGAGCTGATAATGAAACAGAAAATTAACTATGAAAATTAATTAAACTCTGCAGCAGATGAACATCTTTCTAATGCTGACATAAATACGATCATTCAGCTGTTCTGATGCATATACCTATTATCCTTGAACTTATAGCAGGTACTGAAATAAATATTAATATATTTTATACTTTTATAACCAATTTTTTACTTAGGAATTTTCCTGAAGCCTTATCACAGGTAATGCATCACCAGCAATGACATCAAAATGCTCCGGTTCCCAAAGTACTCTTGTCAGGTTTTAATATAATGATTTGTAAAGTTTTAATAATCTCATTGTAATTCAAGAGGCATCTGCTGGAATGGTGCTCAGTACAATAATAAATCTCCGTCCCATCTATAGTGCTGTGATAAAACATCTTAGCACCTTTTCTGAGGATTGTCTTTAGGCATTAGCTAGTTCTGCAGGGCTTAACAGACACTTTTTTTCTCTTGACTGCAAACCTGAAACTAGTTGACAGTGTTAGATTAAAACAAATAGGATTTTGGATTAATTGTTCTGATTTCAGAATCATTTAACATTGCAACTGGGAAGGCAAATAAATCCAAACAGTGTAAAACGGGTTAAATGATAACACACCATAAAGTGCTTCATTTAGAGCATTTTCCTTAGGTTTTGCTGCTTATAAATTGCAGTGTTCTGCCGTGAAACAAAAACAACACACCGAGCTGAAAAAGTGGTGTTGTTTTCCACAGAAATAGAAGTTATTACCTCGCTCCCACTGGGTAACAAAAGAGGCCAGCAAAAGCAAAGCTGGGATGAGTTAGGCTGSGAGGGTTTTTTCAATGTCTSTGTAATCTGACACTGCAGCCAAGCTGCCGTTTRACTAGACTGGGATCTCTTTTTGGTTTTGTTCTTTACCTGCTTTCCATTCCAACACTCCCAACCCCCTGTAAGCACACAGACATTTTAGYCACCTCATCAGGKTTTTCCACTCCCTCTYTTGCTCCTCGCAGTCAAAAACAGCYGCTCATGGGTARTCACACTGGTGTCTCCTAAGAGGATTATTCCATTCCCAAAAATAATTGTTTGGGTAGGATGTGACTCGGTGCCGAGGCTGTGATTCCCTGACCACATAATGATCAGTCCATCTCCGTGCTGTCTTACCCACAGCAAAATCTGGGTGGATGAAAGGCGTTTATTTTTGTTTTGCGCACAATGCACAGAAGTCTGCTCGTGTTTCAAGTAAAGGAAATCACTTGATATATTTCAATAGCTTGTTTCCTTTTCAAAACATTAAGGAAGAAAAAGAGGAAAATCATGCTTTCCTTCCTGTTTCAAAGGCCCTGATTAAAGGCCTTTTCTAAGGCTCTTTTGGTGGTTGGAGTAAAGGAATTTCCTCCTGAAAGCAGTTGTTCAAAGAGATCGTTCTCTTTAACTTAAATATTGATAGAACGCTTCAGTGAAGAATTCTCATATCATATCTTGCTTTTAATGTTGTTATTATATGGAATAATAGTAAAGATGTGAAGGTTTTATTCCAGATGCTCACATTTCTTTTTTTTTGATGTGATTTACTCACATTTTACATGAGCATATTTTTGTAAATTTATCTGAAAAGCTTCTTCCTGCCTTCCATTTGGCCGCATTCAACTGGAACCCTAAGGCAACATGGACTTTTTGGCTGAAATACAGTGGAAAACTCTTGTGGCTTTTGAATAGAGTAGYTGGATCAAGCAGGGATCCAACAAAAGGAGGCAAAATTGAAACCTTAAGTTTTCTTGCATTTTGTAACWTTTCCATTACCATGTTGTTTTTAGGTGGTTGTCACAATATATAGGCACATACATATAATGTAAAAATTAAGAATACATACAAATGCTGAGGTTTTTGTGTCCCTCTGTTTCCATCTGGCAGAGCATTGTTCTGGGGTTGTGCTGAACAGTCACTCCTTCCTTGCAGTCATTCAGTTTTCAACATGGGGATGACACACCCTTACAAACCCTCATCATCCTCATTTTGTCATTTACTCAAGGCCTGGTCCTRAATGGGGACTCCACTCTGCACCATGGGGTTCCCACACTGGCCCCATAATGCTGACAGATCTGGTGACACTCAGGTAAATATGAAGATGGTACTAATGCGTGATGAGCTGGGGTTTTAAATACTTTTTGCATCCTTTTTCTTTTTTTCTGTAAAGTTCTTGTATTCTGACATTGCCCTTCCAGGGGAATGCGATCATTTCCAAAGTCAGAAGTACCTTCTGCAAAAGTGAAAGCAATTTTTGCTTGATATTTCATCAGGGATTTGAATTACTTACTAATTTGATGGAACATAAATAATTGTGCCCTTCACAGTGTCACCAGCTCAGTAACAATGATAGAGAAACATACACATAAAAATCAATACAGGCTTACTTGCTACTTAGTTGACTTTGTTTCCTCATCTCCGGGCATAATTTTGTAGAATCTTAATGCCACATTAAACTTAATTTTACGTGACCAACCATATAGAGTTTCTTAGCTGGGAGGAAAACCGTGGTGTACCAAAGTGCCTAATGATGTCTGGACCTGTGTAATACTTTGGGGTTTGTCCCGTGTTCTTGCTGCTGAACAGGACGTTCCCACACCACTCCCCAACTCCCTCATCCGCCCACGGAGAGCGGCGCAGCAGCGCCGAGGAGGCTCTTGCAGGAGCTGTCAAATGCTCGTTGCTGATTTTAAAATTGCTTTTGGTTATGTGCTGTGCCAAGGATTTGTCACACCTCCCGCCCGCCAGGTGCCTGCTCTTCGCACTCCTGCTTTCCCTGCCGCGGGGCACGTGGCGAGCGCGTCTGCCATGAAGCCAGCCTGGGTCTGACAGCTGGGAACGGGCAGCCCTCCCTCCCTGGGGAAGGGATGGGCTACAGGCAGGTGGGATTTGGATTTTCTGATGCTGATTTGACAGTGTCTTTCAGCTCTGATTGCTGGGGGTCTTTTTTAGCTCTTCTGCAAATGTTCTTCTCATCACAAAAGCTGGTGGGGAGGGTCTGAGCAGCGCTGGTGCTGGTGGATGGATGATGCATGCTGCTAATTGAAGTTGGGTCATAGCTCAAAACGTCACTGGTGCTTGGCTGTGCTTGCACCACACATGGGGCAGTCTTGATGCTGCAGATCGCACTCTTTGGCCCTGTTTGGCTGTTGTTGTGCTGGGCTGGGTGCTCTGCCCTGAGCCCCTCTCTGCTCCTCACCCTTCCTCATGATGCTGAGGATCTCAGGGCAGGAATGAGCTGCTCTCATGCAAGGGCTGAGGAGGCTGTGAGGCCTCAGAGAATGAGTATGCCCTTGTGGGAATAGGGGACTGAAATRCCAGGTTATGTGTTATACAGTTGATTTGCATTAAAATGGCTACCAAAGCTTTTGTCTGCCACRGGCTCCAGCAAGGTCTCAGAGGAGCACCTGGCAGGATGCAGCTATTGCACAGAAACATTGCTTTCCCCACCTTTGCTGTCTTTGCTTTGCCCTTTATGGTACCGTTTTGTCTGTAAGCCTCTTAGAGATGCCTTTTCCTTGTTGTTAACAGCTGCTGCAAAGCATTAAATTTGTCTTGTTCCCTGCTGTCAGTGCTGGGGCAGCACCCAGAGTCACAGTCACCTTTTCCCAGCCTGGCACGGGTGCTCTGCAGGACCACAGTCCTGTTTTACCCTTCAGGCAAAGGGCTGTCAGAGGGATGGCAGCCCACACTACCCCAGGCCCCTGCAAAAGATTTCAGGGTTATGGAAACTGTGTGTTTTTGTCACTCTGTCCTGTTCTCTGTGGCTGTCATCAAGAATCTACATGGATCAGCAGAAAATTATTAGCAGAGCACAAATAAATTACCACAGCAGAAAAGGCTCTATTAATGTCAAAAAAATGGGGCTCTTATTCCCTTCCTTGTCAAAAGTGAGCACTGAAAATCAAAGTGCTACCAGATCAAAAGCTTAGGTACAAAGTGAATCAATGGCATCTGTTGCTTCTTTGTGAACATGAGGTGGGGTGAGGGGAGGAGAGGAACCTTTGTTTATTTAAAATGAGCTTGGAAAAGTCTCAAAAAGCTGTAACTGGAACTCAGCATGGAGCAGAATGTAGGTTTGGATCTCCCTTGAGAGGTCCAGAAGTGGTCAGGCAAGTGATCGYTGAAGTTTCTGGGCTTGCTGGGGAGAAACTGCCAAAACACAGTGGAAACAACTGCTTTAATAATGAAAAAGGATAGAGAATAAATATGTTGCACATCTCTTCAGTTGTCCTAGGTGAAAAATCAGTGAATAACCTGTTAAAATAAATCAGCACTAAAAAGGAAGCAATCTAGACGGTGTTAGTTACCCTGTGGATCTATCACACCAGAAGGCATAATAACAAGAAAACACCATTAGCACTATGACAGGTTTTTTCTTTTGTTTTTAACTTTAACCACAACACCACCTGACAAGCTGTTTGCCTCCTACACTAAATATCATGGGGTTGTGGAGRAAAAAGGTGGGGGAGAGGGGTGAGGGTGAGATGTGATAACGTGGGACCTCATCTTTGAAAGCAAAACTTTGAAGAAAGCAGCAGCTCAATTTGGAACAAGGGCGGGCCATCAAAGGGAGAGCAGCACGATGCATTT